CCTTACATTGGTGGTCAGTGGGATGAATGCTCCTTACATTGCATCTCCTTCTGACAATACTAGATGCCTCACCGCCATACTAATCCAGTGGCCTGAAATCTTCCAAGTCTCTGACCACATCATAGTTCGGATGTCTCAGATTTCTGGACCTGCGTATTTACTTTGGCCCGGAGTATTGAAGCCATCGGATTAGCATGGCAGCCCGGTAACTGGCATTTCCAGAAGGAGCAATGGCCGGTGATTTCTTTCTTTTAGGAAAGGTTTACTTTAAAGCCAGTGGTCCTCAACCTGTGTAATGGAACGCACGGCATTAGGGTACGGCGCGTTTCGGTGCGGGGGCGTACAAACTATGGGCGGGAGGTGCGTTTGGGGTACCATTCAAATGAATGGCAATGCAACACACCTCCCGCACCAGAATGCACGGTAGGTGCATATGCGTGGTGCAGTGCGTTAATCGCACAGGACTGTGTTTATTAACGCCCTTTACTGGTGTGAACGGGCCCTCAAAAACACTGACATACAAACACAGACAGACATTCTCACACACATCTACACACTCCGAAAAAATGTTAAGGTCCACCCAGTCTCCCTACCTTCCGAGAACTGGAGTGGATCCTCAGCCTGGGGTCCAGTGTGGGCTGCTGTGCTGTGATGGAGCTCCGTCCATATGTGCATTGCTTGTACAGCTCCTTTGCGGGCCCTGTAGAGGTGCCGGGAGCCAGAACGTGATGTCACTCCGGTCCAGGCACCTCTACAGGACACGTGAGGGAGCTGTAAGCAATGCATGTATGGATGGAGCTCCCTTTGCGGCCATACCCCCAGCCCACCCCACCTCAAGCTGACACTCGGCACCGGGCAGCATATTTTGAATGGATGCTTGGCGTGAGAACTGTCAGTGCAACACTAGGTGGAGGCTGGGGAGTCTCTCACCTAGAAAAGTGGAAGGCACATGGCGACCCACTGAACACGGGGTCGCGACCCACTTTTGGGTCGCACGACTTACCAGTTGAGAACCAAGGCTTTAAAGCATCCCTGTAGGCTAAGAGATCAAATGCAATTAGCAAATATTCCACTAGATGGCGCTGTGATAACATATATAATGCTGAACTCGTTATTCTCATTGTCACACACACACACACACACACACACACACACACACAGATAATGGAAGGAGCGTTGCTGGCCTTGCTTCTACTTCAGCTGCTCTGTATCTTACATATAAAAGATGCAGGAGGGGAAGAATACTAGCGTTGCCGAAGGCACGCAATCACATGTTAGCATTTGTTTTTTCAACCTGCATTAAGGGTAAAAATCATTTCAGCCGGGATCTGAGTGCTGTGCGTAATACATTGTCCATTCTTGCATTGAAAGGCTTGTGTAGACCGGCGTTCATGTGAAAGGCAACCTCCCCCCTTCAACCTGCACTGCATGCAATCCAAAGGCACCTCCACAGAAACGGCTGTGCCCAAAGAAATGCAACGCAAGGCAGGTCAAACGCAACCTCTAAACGGTCATCTACACCACCCCATAGAAATCAAAGGGAAGCTGCTTATCTGCGTTTGATGGCCAATTCAAACGCAGGAATATGACGCCGGTGTACGCAAGCCCCAATCAAGGCATGATTTTCAATTTCAAAATCAAGTATATTAAAAGTTCTGCAGTGTAAAATCTTCAACAGTAAAAAGCTCATTTAAAATCAATACCAATACATCACCATTTATATGCATGGCACTTATAGTACTGACACATTGTATAAAACCTGTGTGTTCATCATGGCCACAAAAAGAAAATAAAGAGCAACAGGTCTTTACTGCTGCCCGGGACACCAGTGGCAAAAACCTCACCACCCTGAAACAGTCATCACAGGTCGAGAGTTTGGATGAATAAAGCTACCGGTGTGACAGGTCTGATCAAGTACCTTTTATATTTCTGCAGAGTATACGCCAAAGGATGATATGTCACAGTGCTGGTACATTATACCGTAGGAATGCAGAGAACTCACTTAACTCAGGCCGGTGACAACAGTAGCTCAGCGGTCAGTGTGGTAGAGGAGATTACCTTGGTGGAGTCCTGTACAGCGCTGAAGACACGGTGGGAAGCAAAACCTGAAAAATTCTGTTCTATAAAAAATGATGAGATCCAATATAGCAACCCAACTGCCCGCCGAGACCGACATTGTGAGCAACATAACACGCCAGGTTCTCATATTACAGTACAACTCAGAAAGACGGCAAAGGGGTGTTAAGGGCACTCTTAGAAGCTGGATTCAGGGACATTTTTCTTCCTTCCTAAGGAGGAAGTTTGATATTTCACTCTCTGCAGTGTACCTGAGGATGACTTTTCTGCTGCCCCTTGCCTGGAAGCATGGTGAGATGCACTTCCGTTCTTGTACAGAGAGGTGGAGCGCTTCATAGTCCACTCCACCTTATTCTGGACATTGGTTGAGCTATGGGCTCTCCTGATGTCCATCTGGGCTCTGCTGGGGGTTAGGTCCTCTTTCTGACGACGTGGCATGGTGCCACTAGTCCTCCCGTCACCCAAAACCCCATTGGACAAAGATGTCCTGGTTGTCCCGTTATGGAGCTCTGATTTGATGTTCTCTGATGCACTCTGCCTCCTGGATTCTTTCTTCGGTAAACTGGACTTTGACGACGTTCCTTCCTGATGTCCGGTTTCGGAGGTTCTCGGTCTGCTGCTGTGGCCATCTTTTGTAATGCTTCTTTGGTTTCCATCTCCCTTTTTACCTGAATTTGCTTTGACTTTTTCAGAATTGTCAAAAGATAATGGGCCATCTACACCTGAGGTCCTATGCTGTGATTGTAAGGGTTCGTCTCCCTTCATGGTCACAGCATTGCTATCCTGGCGGCTCACTTTCTCTCTTATCTTTCCCTCCGAAGAGTCCGTCTTTGATGATGTCATTGTCGTTCTTGGCTGGCCACCTGATGAGTTGGTTCCATTGGCACCATGGGTATTAACGTGGTTTACCTTTGGCTGAGGTCCACTGGTTGACTTGTCTGTGTTGGGAACACCAGTCATCAATGGCACAATAGACTCGTTAGTGTACTTTGGCCGACGTCCTGATTCTAAATATTCCACTAGCTCACCAGTCTTGGGCTTTGCCCTATCCTTTGCTCCAAATGACCACCGGAGTGGCATTGCTTTACTAAGGCTCAGCTTTAGCTTGGAAGCAGAAGACAGTTTCATGCTGGCACTACGACCTTTGACCCCACGGACAAAAGACTTTGAGCCGCAACCTGCAAGAAACAAAAGAAATAGCTGACCACCCTTCAATAAAATATATGGCCAAAGGTTTGTCTATACCAGATCCTCACACCTAGTGGGATGTTCTTGTTGGACATCCCACTTTAAAACCATGGTTAATAATATGGAGTTGCCCCTCTTCTTCTACTCACCTGGGAAGAATCCCCGCAATATATTGATATGTATGTGATATGAATTTGTGCCCATTCAGCCAGAAAACCAAGAGAAGACCTGACTCAAACTCAGTGTTTCATTTCATTCTTATGGTGTTCAGTAGGGTTGAGGTCAGGGCTCTGTGTAGGCCACTCAAGTACCTCCACACCAAGCTGGTCAGATGATATCATTACAGACCTGGCTTTGTGCACCCAAACCCAATCATTTGGGGGATGGCCACATACTCGTGGCCGTATAGTTTTTTTATTTACTAAGTTTTGGGAACATATACTTTGACAGCAATTCACCACATCTGAAAAGCCACATATCTACCTTGATCCAAGTTCTCCTCATCTAGGAAGACCACAGAGTCTGGAATTTGGGGAAGTGGGGAGCAGTTGGAAGTAACATGAGACACCAAGCTCTCTCTCTTGCTTCCATTCAGCCGAAGGACCCAGTGATCCGAAATGGAGGAACTTGTGGAACCTGTAATCACATAACAAGATTATAAGTACTAGTAGGACAACACTAAGACAAATCCCTAATTTTTCAACATGGTGGGTCTGTGTTTTCATGGTATCTGAAAGTAAATTATTCCACAGCAGGGTAGGAAAGGAAAGAGAGGGTCTGCCTGGTTGCCATGGTCAATACACACAAGCTACGTCATGTTGCTAAAGACCCCTCTGCACGTTTCCAACCTCCAGTAATACACACCAAACCTCTATACATACCTCCACCCAACTATGCCTCAGACTTACTTCCATTCAGACCAATAGTCAACCCCCCTCATCATCATCTTCCCCAGAGTTATAGTACCTCGTACTGAGCTGCTGGCAGACCAGGCAGGGATGGCGTTCCTCTTTTGGTAAAAAAGGAGATAAGCCCCCCGGGTGCAGACCTCATCCTCCTGGACCAGTTCTACGTTACTGTCATCATAACTGTACCATCGGGCATCCAGCGAGTTTCTGCAGTAGGCTATGAACATAAAAATATACACAGGTTAAAAAAACTGGAGGAATTTAGTTTCTTTATATTGTTCTTTTTAGGTATCAATTGAAAACTAAAAAAAGGAATGGATGCAACTCCTGTCAGGATGGGGAGATTTTACTTGACTTCCTTTCCTGGGAGACACAAGTGAGGGGAATTCACAGTTCTCCTTACTGGCAGATTTCCCCTCACCTCCTGTTTCTGGGATAGTTGTACAATTCTGGGTTTGCCTCAACCCTCGGTCCTGGTGTTGGAACTAAATTGCACATTAATAGATACTAATCCAGTGATCTGAATAGATTCCAAAGAGCACATGACATAAAATCCTGGGATACCTATTTTCCATCAACATTCACCCCAGCATAATATTCCCTATACTCAGATGAAGGGGGCTTTCAAAAAACTCATGAAATACGTTGACCTCCTTCTATCCAAAACCCCCCAAAAAGTTTCAGTTAGAGATAGACGTTAGGGAAGATAGACTTTTTGACAGCACCATTTTTAGATGGCAGGCTTGTGAGTGAATACCCCACCCAATGGGTCTTCACAGGGTCACATGGTCTTTTCTGAATCAGACAGGTTACTCAAAGTCTTCCATAGCATGGGTATCCCCCCCTCCTCCATAGCATGGGTATCCCACCCTCCGCCATACCATGGGTATCCCCCCCTCCTCCACAGCATGGGTATCCCCCCCCTCCTCCACAGCATGGGTATCCCCCCCTCCTCCACAGCATGGGTATCCCCCCCCTCCTCCACAGCATGGGTATCCCCCCCTCCTCCACAGCATGGGTATCCCCCCTCCTCCACAGCATGGGTATCCCCCCTCCTCCACAGCATGGGTATCCCCCCTCCTCCACAGCATGGGTATCCCCCCTCCTCCACAGCATGGGTATCCCCCCTCCTCCACAGCATGGGTATCCCCCCTCCTCCACAGCATGGGTATCCCCCCTCCTCCACAGCATGGGTATCCCCCCTCCTCCACAGCATGGGTATCCCCCCTCCTCCACAGCATGGGTATCCCCCCTCCTCCACAGCATGGGTATCCCCCCTCCTCCACAGCATGGGTATCCCCCCTCCTCCACAGCATGGGTATCCCCCCTCCTCCACAGCATGGGTATCCCCCCTCCTCCACAGCATGGGTATCCCCCCTCCTCCACAGCATGGGTATCCCCCCTCCTCCACAGCATGGGTATCCCCCCTCCTCCACAGCATGGGTATCCCCCCTCCTCCACAGCATGGGTATCCCCCCTCCTCCACAGCATGGGTATCCCCCCTCCTCCACAGCATGGGTATCCCCCCTCCTCCACAGCATGGGTATCCCCCCTCCTCCACAGCATGGGTATCCCCCCTCCTCCACAGCATGGGTATCCCCCCTCCTCCACAGCATGGGTATCCCCCCTCCTCCACAGCATGGGTATCCCCCCTCCTCCACAGCATGGGTATCCCCCCTCCTCCACAGCATGGGTATCCCCCCCTCCTCCATAGCGTGGGCATCATCCCTTCTCCATAGCATAGGCATCCCTCCTTCTCCATGGTATTGGTGTCCCCCCTCCTCCATAGCATGGGTGTCCCCCCTCCTCCAAGGTAATGGTGTCCCCCCTCCTCCATAGTATGCAGGAGGAAGTGGGGGGGGGTCTTTAGGGTATTCTTATAATGTATATATAGAATGCAGGGAACATTTTCTCACCTGTGTAGTGTCCACCCTGTAAGCTCCCATGGTGATTACACAACGCGTACAGGTCATACATGACGTCCAGCTGACCCCCGTCCACCGGGGACGGTGCCGTCTTCCACGACGACCACTGCCCTCCGGGACCTTTGCTTCCCTGGCCCCTCTTGACCACATGAGGAGCCATGTCCATCCCAGTGAGAGGGAACCTTACGAGAGTAGAGAGTTTATTCCTGCGGCTACCCACCTGCCGGAACCTCTTCAGGTGGATGATGAGGATGTCGGGGAGGGTCCAGAGGCTTAGCTTGACCGTTCCTTGCTGTAATACTTTGCAGTGAGGGCATCTCCAGGCATCGTCAGGGGCCAACTACATCAGCCAGGAAAAAAGGAAGAGAACCAAAGCCAATTAAAAAAATGATTATGGATAATAAAAATGAGAGAGGATGGAAGGGGATTATCTGCTGTAAGAGAAGTTAAGCTTTAGCATGGGAAGGGATTCTTTACAGTAAGAGTTGTGAAAGCTGATAATAGGAAGAAGTCCTTTCGTAAAGACAGAATCACATGACATAACTATGGTCTATGTCATGTAGAGCACCTGCTGTGCTTATTAGTAGGGATTAGTAGAGTAGAGAGGTCATGTAGTATTAGTAGAGAAGTCATGTGATCTAGGGTGCCTAGACTTTAGGAAAAACTAGGGAGCAGACTTGGGCAACAAGGAGACACTTTTCACTTAAAAATAATATTGTGGCCCTCACCTGCTCCTCCTTAGTATAGAGCTGAAAGCACTCATCCAACGTGCAGCTCTGCTGCTGGTGATCCAACTGCTGTGCTCTCACAGACTCGTCGTCACGCACCACCTCCTCCTGGATGTTCCCAAAAAGTCTAAAAAAGAAACGTGTGTGTTAAAGCTCAACTCTGGCAAAAGCTTTAATTTATAAGTGGAGAAGGGTTACAAACTCTATCAGGTTTCCAATGCTGGCTGTGTCCCCATAGAGGTGATTTATCATTCCCTCCTGTGCTGTGAAGTAAGGAGAATTCCTACCAAAGGGACATAGACAGCATGATCCAACCCTTCCATATGCTACCGGAAAATGTGTTTGTATCACTGCCAATGTTCCTGTAGAGGCCCTTGTGGCCCATTTCCTGTTCTGGCTGATACACACCTAATAGACAGGAAGTAGAGAGATTTACACTCACTTCCTGTTCTGTCTGACCCCATCC